TCCTAAGCCCCCGATCCCAGCATACGGATCACAGTCACCTCCTGAAATGTGCCTCCCATTCCTACACCCCCGATCCCAGCATACAGATCACGGTCACTGCCTGACATGTGCCTCCCACTTGTTTCCCCTGTTGTTTCCCATGAGACTGTAGATCCTAAAGCACCTAACCAACCATTCTCTCTGTCTTCATGGTGGTGGACAAGGCATACCACCACCCCCTATGGAAGCCTGTGTGACGCCTCATCTTTGGCTTGGACACCAACTCGACCATCAGTGGTGGGATAATTAGCCTGTGGGATTACTAGCCTGTGAGAATATTAGCCTGTGGGATTACTAGCCTGTGAGAATATTAGCCTGTGGGATTATTAGCCTGTGAGAATATTAGCCTGTGAGAATATTAGCCTGTGAGAATATTAGCCTGCATCGTGCCCGCAAACCTGACAACGGGGGTCTCAGGAGCCTGAACCACACAGAACGCAGAAGGCAGGCAGATAGCACTGCACACACAAGAGTATGTCAGGCGGAGTTAAATTACACACAGGCCTCCCTGCTGATTGATTGAAGACTACTTCCTGCCAGAATGACGCACAAGGGTAAATATATGGTAAATGAATTTAGCCACAGAACACCTAGTGCTTTAAATATAAAATAAAGCAAAAGACGTAAGAGAAAGGAGCTGACGTACATCCATAGAAAGCACAGGTGGTGAGTAAAGCATCATCAACACAGGCGATGAATGTTTCTCTGAAAAGCGGTTAGAATATACTCCTATAGGCAGGATCTTGATGTCCTTCTTGTCATTGCTGGGTTTAAATGACCTTGGGAGCTGAAGGACAGGGAGCCACTCTGCTGCTGCTGTAATTAAGCTCAGGTCATGCCGGCTTTGGCACGGCCTTTGGCGCTACGTGCACCGTGGGCCTCAGAGCTCTGTTGGTATTTACGTTGATATTTAGGCTGCTTCTCCTCTGGAGGGTTGGGTATAAATGGCAGGGCATCGAATGGCAGACTCCTCCCCCTCCCGTGTCCCTAGGTGGGTCGACCCACTTCTGCTCAACATGCAGAATCCCCCTGCAGGGCTGTACTGGGATTACAAATGGAATTTGGGGTCCTCCACGTCGCACAATGACTGTTCAGGGTTGCTAACTCTCACACATCAGGCATGACATTTGCTTAGGGAGTGAGTGGTGGCATGTGTAGAAAAGAGTAGCAAAGACAGATTAATTAAATTTCCAGCCTGTGTTAGACTTAATCATAGACATTCCTGCCTGACTCTACAGTATGTAGGTGGGGCAAGTGAGCTTTGTATTCAGGAATAAACTAAGATCAGGGAACCCAAAATAGTGGGGGTGAAGCAGTGATTCAGAAGATCTTCTCACTACATCAATGAAGCATGTGCATTACATGGATCCTGAACGTGTGTTTTTGCAGGCCTGAGGAGCCTGCAGACGTGGAGGAGTGAAGGTGATGCGTGAGATGGAGGGACTCTGGCTTGTTGGGGCACCATGAGGACAATGGACCAATGGACAACCTTCCCAGGGTCCATGTGACCCATGTGAGCCATGTGACCTCATCACAGTAAGTGTCTGGGCAAGTAACAGACTGTAACAGACTGAAAGGTCCTGGAAGGGCAAATTAAATTTGTCTCACTGGCAATTACACCAATGTGAATTCTGCTCAGATATACTTATACTTAATATGATTACACAGACCTGATACTTTAGGTCATTAAAAAGACAAGTGAGTTTGGGGACAGTAAGATCAGATCGGTAGTTGCCATGCTTGCACAGAAAGCAGAAATAATCTTCATGCACACAACTGTAAATCATCCACTTTGATAAACAAAAACGGTATATAAAACTACACACCACAGGGCTACCAAAGTGGAACAAGCAACCAGTAACTGGGAGTTTGATGACTTTCGCAAACTTCTTCAGTTTTCTAACAGGTTAGGCAATTTGGTTGTGCTTTATCCACTCCGCTCAGTGCAGAACAGGAAGAATCAATTGAAAAGATGCAGAAAATTAGCAGTCCCTACACTCAGAAATAAGGGTACAAATTATTGCTCACTCAGTGCTGCTTATTTTTAGGTGCCTGTTCTTATGCTGTGAAATTACTCTTCTGTAATGGTGCAGAACAGTGTGGCATGGCTCTCTATACCCACAACTGAGTGATGAATGGGCCAATAGCAGTTAAAATAGGTCATGGTGCTTGTTGGGGGAAAGCGAAGCAGTGGGGGTGGGGTGGGGGGTAGGCTAGATCTTAGGGGGGGAGTGTCAGGTTGCTCTTCCCACCTCAGGCCTGTCAACAGTACGTCAGAGCCCCCCTCCACCAACATGCTGACGTCAGCCAGACCCCACCCCCCGTGCACAGCCAGGTGCAGACCAGAAGAACGATAATTTTATCAATGACCCATCTAGTGCTTAAAGGCAGGCTCGCACCCCCTCCCCACACCCCCTCCGGAACCCCGAGGTGGGCAACAGGGGGTGAGGATGGGCAGGTCAAAACACAGTGGGCAGGGTTCGAAGGACGTCCCCATGGCGCTGAGGGATGTGAACTGTTGGGTGCAACAAACCCCCTGATGGTGACCTAGAGGAGATACTTGTTGTTGCAACCCGCTAATGTGAAGACTGCCTTCTATTAATAATAATAATAAATTATCATTATTATTATTAATGAATCACTATCAGCATGACTGTGGGAAACGGAAGGGGCCAGAAACCGCTGTTTTTGCAGAGACAGGACAGGAAGCCACAGAGATGCTGTTTTTGTTGTCACTTCATTCATGTAATAAAGCTGCTTATGAAAATGAAGGCCACATCTATGAGTCCTCTGTGAGCTCTGCTCCAGACAGCTGGAATGATGACCTGAAGTGCCAGTAATGCCAAACCATAGCCCAGCCAAGACTAATGTCCGCGTGGAACGCATACCGAAAGAAAGTGCTTCAATTTAACGGGCACATAAATCAAAAGCACAATAACTTATTCAGCAAAAGCTTAATTATTTTTTATGTATAATTTATATAAAAGAAACCCTTCAACACTTAATAAATGCAAAAAAAAATAAAAAGCCTCATCAAGATTCTCTCAAAATAAGATTATTTTAACGAGTCTATGTAACCCAATTATACGTGGCTATTATGTCATGAATATCAAATAAACTTAAACACCAATAATTAAATGGCTATTGCAGCACACTAGCAATTCTTATTCTGAACAAATGCAATAGCAGCACCTTCTAGTGTTCAGCAAAGTCAACTGCATACAAAACACCGTTTCTTTATGGTTAATTATATGTGCCAGCCTGGAAAGCATCCGCGCTGTTGATCAGTTGTCCACTCGTCCTATTGTTTTCAGCAGGACGCCAATTTACAGTTCCCAAAAGCAAGTGAAATATCAGCAAGGAAAATTAATTTCCCAATGGTGTACATCAACACAATATATACTATAGTATATCATTAAATAAGTAAAAAAAAAAAGAAGAAAAAAAAATAAAACTAACAACAAAACATTGAGGAGGAAAATGTAATACTTCTGGGAATATACTGTTTTGGGTAACAGAGACTGCCTTACAGTGTGCTGGCCTCTTGTTACATGAACTTTCACTAACAGGTGGCACCACCTGCAGGTCATGCCTGGAAGTGCTGCCGGAATCTTGACTCAGCTTGTCTGATTGACTCCGGCTGTTTGTGACAATGCAATGCATGTCACTATGGAGACGGGAAGCACAGGGCGGAGGGCGGTGATCTCAGTGCAGATTAATTGCATTTCATGTCTGGTGGACAGTGCCTGAAACTACTTTAAAAAATACCCACTGTGGGCACTCCAGCCCCACCCCGTGTCCCCAATATCGCCGTCCGTTAACTTATATTGGTGTGTAGCATAACATTTCTGTTTTTAAAAAATATATAAATACAAATACATCATGCCACCAGTTTCCCACTGGTGCTAAGAGATTCATCACATATCAGTGTTTTAGCTGGGGAGATGAGAGCGGATTTTGTGCTGAGGCTGCAGTAAAACAAAATCATTATTTGCTGACGGGATTCAGACATTCAGACAGGGTGCTGTGCACAGCACATGCCGGACACCTCTCTGCCTGGGAGGAAGGAGACGGAGCTGACAGCAGTGGTGAGGATGGCCAGCGGGACCCGGAGAGGCCAGAGAAGGCAGAGCAGGTGGGAGGCCTGCCCCCCCCCGCAGTGGTAGGCGATATGCCCCAGATAGAGCACTGTGACACTCATGTAACAGGTGTGCACCAGAGCTACCAGTGTCCCCCCCCCCCC